GTCTCATCTTGTCAGCGTCTAACTCTCTATTCATCACCAAGAGATGTGGGCAACTTTAAGGCTAACTTGCATATCGTCCTTCAATGAATTAAGCTCTATTTCAGTGAATGATTTTAAACGACCACTTATGAAGGAAAATAATGGGTAAGTCAATATTGACTTGAATTTATAGAATTGTGAATTAGTAAAATAAAATTACTGGAGTTATTACATAATTGTTATTATTAGAATTAGAATTATTAGGTCGGGAGCTAAAGTAGCCTTAAGTCAAAAATTCTAAAAATTACTAAACAAGTAGCGCAAATCAGCTTCAATAAATCAATGAAACTCCGCTCAAAAGGCTCCTAAGAGTCAAACTACGTTCGATAACCTGTCAACCTGTGTTCACAAAGGGGCCACAGTGTTAAAAAACATGACTGTCCCTAATGGGGAGCGCTAGCTATTAGAATAAGAATCAAGTTTCTCACCAGTGCAATCCATTTCTAGAGAGACTTTGTGTAGGATCGTATGCTCTTTGCACGAGTTTTATGATCGACTCCGTCGCAAAGCAAGAGTTGAATCGTTATCGTTGAAAAATAAGGAGTGGGGTATTACCACCACCTCCTTCTAGTCGAGCGTTTTTTGACAGTAGCGTCCTAAGTGCGAAGTATCCATCAACTTTACGCATATTTTCGAACGTAATTCTCGTAATCCGTCACCACCACTACAGCAGGAAAACGTTTGCTCCAACCTCATAGCAGCGCGGAAATGTGGCACGCAACACCTTCGAAACTAACAAAATCAAAAAATATTCTACTACCAGATGGTGATAAGAAAGTTTAGTTTTCAGTGATTCCTCGTCACTTGAATGTTGAAATAACGGAGAAAACTACTCGAAGACGCTTACCTTTAACGTCCATCATCTGAAAAGTAATTCAGAAGCCAATTCGAAAAATTGAACACGCGATGAGTCAAAATGCGAAACACGGCACGTTTGAAACCATCAACTATCTTGCAACTTAGAATTGAATTACCAAAATGTTTCGTCTTATACCTACTTATCAAAACTCATAAGTTAGCGTTTATAATGTTGAGCTTACATAGTCAGTATTAGTATAAGTTCGCATTCACTGATAACCTTGCGTCTAACTACCCCCCAAGGTTCGAGGTCAAACCTATCATTTGCTGTGTAGACGAGTCTACGAAAAAAGAACTTTGGTTTATAAACCTAATTCTCACCCAGCTGCTGGAACACTTGGCAGTCTATTCGCGGATCATGTGCGCAAGGAGCGGCTTAACAGTGCATACGTAATGGAGTCCTTTGATATTACCGCCGTTTATAGGAACGTGTCGAATGACTTTGGTATGCAAGCCATCCTCGAACTCCTTATACAACACGAAGGTGCAATAAGGATGTACGGTTTCTCGATTCAGCAGTTGATGACAATCTTAAAGGAGTGCGGGAGGTATTACGCACAAATGAGAGGGCTGGCAATGGGACAACATGCCGATTTGTGGAACCCGGATCAATCCTGTTGACTAGTGATTGCTGATGGCGCTGAGAAAACAGCTGAGAGAAAAGCGAAACGAAGGACCCGCATGGCGTGGTGGTGAACACGTTAGCTCTCGGAAAGGGTAATAGTGTGTTCGATCTCCACCGCAGACACCCGCCGTCCGGAATTTTGCAAATATCTCAGCATCATTGTGATTGATTACGGATAATACCTTGCCGTGAAAATTGTGGGTCGCCTGCATATAAAAAAGTTAACGTAATAGTAATAGTGATAGTAATAATAATAATAAAAGTAGTGATTAATAATAACACTAAATAATAATACCAATAATTATAATTATTATAATCGCAATAATTATAACTAATGATTATAATAATTATAATTATGCTTACTTATTTGACACTTGAATGTCCCGTGCTCACTGGTTGTGCGGGCTCCAGCATAATCTCTACTTTTCGGAGACTTGCTGGTTAAGCCATTGTGGTTCCCGAGGCCAGCCTGGCCAAAGTCTGCTCCAGTTTATAATTATAATAATAATTAACGCAATATTAATGACTATAACAATAGAGATAACAATAATTATAGTAGTAATAATAGCAATGCTAATAAAGGGTAATCGCTAGTTCGAAGCTCAGTTGGTGTTCCAAGTTTTGCTCACGTCGCACACATCTCATTGCCCTTGCGCTTGTACTTCATAGCGCATGCAGCCATAAAAAGAATAAGTAGTAAATAAAAGTGAAGACTAATAATACTCATTCTAAGTCCCAGCAACGCATTGTAGTATGCCTATCATTACCCGAGTAGAGACAAACTCCTGAACATGCCTTTATTATAGTATTAAGTTGTACCATAGCCATCATTTTTAACATCATCGGTGGTTAGCCACCGTCGAGTTCGAGCTAGCTGAATAACAAACGAACCCTCTCTCTATGGATGATTTTTAGCTGACTACTATTTATGTGCCTAACGGACTGCAGAACATTTTCCAATCATTCACTCATCTAATGACATCCATTTACAAAAGTGATTGTCTTCATGCATGACGTTCAGACGCCATTCTCTCGCTAAGTTCTTCATTCACATCTGTTCATAACAAACATTTGTCATGAGCGGCTTCTCTGGATCACTGTCAGTCGCAGTCCTTTCACGGCATGATTATACTCATCAACCATCGCTTTTGAACAGCAAGTTCCCCAAAGAATAACCATGTCATCGGCACAGTTTTCAAAGCGATTTTCATTAAACGTCACCAAAATAATATCTTGTTCGATTATTAAGCAAACATGAGGTCATTTGCTTAGTAATCGAGGAGAGTACATTCAAGACTATCCCTAATTTTTTCCTCGAAAACTTGTTCCATGAGAACATTTGTGTCATTCACCACAGAAGCCTCCAGACCACCTTAACGGCACTGTGTCGCTCTGTTGACCCACTTTTCGATTGCAGGGCTAGGAATCAAGGCGAAACTGCCATTTCATGGTAAGAGTTGTTATCTTTGTCTTCTTGTAAAGAACGCACTCTTACGGACACAACAACGTCTGATTTCTTTCTGACAACTACTTTATTGAGGTCTATGAAATCAGGTGGCGCGCGTGTGGCACAGTGGTTGGAGGCGCTCTGCAATACACACGTGGAATCGATGCCCATGCCCTTGGCCCACCGAGCCTTCTCTCCCCACGACGTCGGCAAATTGGTACCAGACTTGTCTAGGAGAATAGCAGCTGCACTGACTCGATACATCGGTATACCACAGCGACTCATTGTATAGGCCCCTAGATATTCATTCAATCGCATCAAAACGATGCTTCATGAAATCGAGTGCATGGCGCATCCCTCAGAGATTGATCAACGCCAAGAGCTTTATCCCTTTATTTATGATATCAGAAGAACGCACGGAATTCTCCACGACTTTTCTTGGGACAATTTTACATTTCTATAGCGTTGAGCTAACAAGTGGTTTGGTATAATAAGCCTTTTCGGCTAACATTTCAACGCATTAGTCTTCTTCAGAGGTGAGTTGATCCGAGTCGATGGTCTATAGCTGGTCGCGCTCTCGATGTGGCTGTTCGTAGTCGGATTGAGTGGAATCCAGTGGACGGAGTTCTTTTCGAATGAGTGATCTCATTCGACAGTGTCCTCTGGGAAAGGACGGAAGTTTATCTATGGCCATCATCCACCATAGGTTTCTGTTTTATTCGAGCAGAATACTATCCGGAGGAAACAGATTCGTCAGAAAAGGCCAAGAAAATCTATCTGTTTAGTGTGAATGTAATGGAAGTAATTAATTTGTAACAGGGTTAATACATATATTATCGTAAAATCTGAATACCAGTTATGTGTTGTTGATTTCAGCATGAGTTCTGCCCACTGTACTAATCTTCAACGGGTGATTTTAGCCGCTAATTTTAACGAAGAACATAAGAGGAGGGAGAAAGATTTATAGTGATCAGCTCTCAGTTTCATAAGGGCGACCTGGGAAATAACCCCTGCAGTGGGTCATAGAGAACGAAGCAAATGGGAGCTTTCTACTTCGACCCAATATATTTCAGCTCATTTCCTTCTATTCTTCCATCAAATTTTACTAATTCTATCGAAACTACTGAAATGTACGGACGTTCGTCTGCAATATCCTCTTCCATGTTGACTCTATGAAACTCTCACTCTACCATGATAAAACCACGAGTTTCTAAAGTCCATGAAACGTGTTTTGGTCATTCTTTTCCGCCGAGAGTCGTATTCTGAACAGGAATCCGACCGAACAGCCAGGATCTCGTGCAGTCCATATAAACACGATGGCGTGCCCCAAACCAAATGTCGAATTTCGCGGCTGCCACGCTGGCGTGGGAAATCGCGTGAATTCAAACATTATTTTAATTTCTCTACCAATTTAAACTCTGACCAATCTATGTTTTGTAGACTGTTTTATAAAAGATGTATTTACCCCTAAGGAGAAAGAAACAAGTCTTCCCTACAAGGCCGTAGAGTTCTCAATTTCTCCATTACTCTAATAACTAAAAAATTACGGTCCATCATCGAATAGCCTGCCTGCGAGGTGGTTCATGACCTTTATTAAATAAGTCGTATAATACACTTTATGTTTCATCAGATGCAGTAACTTGGAAATTCGCTATTTATTCAGGTTCATCCAATAAAACGTACTGCTCGGTAGTTGCAATAGGCGGAAAACTCAACATGTTGCAGTTCTTCCTGGACTTCAACCCAGTCCTCAACAAATTTTGTGTTATATGGAGTAAATACCTTTGGTACCCACCGTTCGTCCTGATAACGATTGTTCTTGGACACAGGGTGCGGATTCGAAGGCGGGAGTTCCGCGTACCCGCCGCCGCCCACGACGATGCCGCGCGGACGGAATGCATGGTGGCGTGTTGGTTTTTGTCCATTCATTTGGAGCTCGTTACCATGTTCTTTTTCACGAATACCTTTGGGTGAACGTGTTTTTATGTGGATCTCGTTTGTTAGAAACCTAGCCATCGTATCTTATTTCAAATGATTCCCCTACCTCGGAAATATGCTCCCGAGCAACGTGGTGTTTCTGGTAGGTTTCCTGAAATCTAAAACTCATACTTGTCCTCCTAAAGTGCTCTAGAGGCATGTCATAGTGGTAATCAGTTGTTAGTGGTACCATTTCTTAGATGTTTCTTTTTTTTAATGGTTTCTTAACTTATTCTTGTAAAGCAAAGTGGGCTCTTCCATGTAGAAACCTTTGGTGGATAAACGTTGGTAAAGTTAGCTTGCGTTTCGAACGTGATTTCTGTTTGTTTGATCTCTTTAATGCCTCAGACATTCGCGAAATGGGTAGCCTTGCTGATGACGGTGACGTAGTGGAAGACCGATTCGACGATCAAAGTTTTGACGACGCACCGCTTTCGGATCGCGAATCGAATTGTGAGTTTGTTCTAAAACCGTTACTAAGTTGACGAGGTACTCTTGGAAGCGCTTAAGGGGTCTACAAAGGTCTGAAGTTTCATGTTGTACCATTATTTTCGTAATTTAGTTGATGAGATGGAATTGCGTGATTGCGAGCAGCTACACCAACCTACTGACCAAATTTATTCGCAAAATAACTGGTACGGCTTTTGGCAACGTCTTATTTTTATCTACAATTGCTTCGAACCCATTACGTATTCAGCAGGATCCAACCTGCCCTTTCCACAATTGCTGAGGAATCGAGGATTGAGGATGTTCCATCTAGTGGTTTCTGCATTAGTTCTTGATTTCCATTACATACTGTCTTTTCCATATGTGAAGCTACTAAGCTTAAACATAAATTTAATATTGTGAGCCATACTTGTGTCACCATGTGGATGAAATTGGGCTCTATATTTCCAGAAATAACATTTCCCTCGTTGGTAAATCACCATCCGTTGGACAGCGGTGTCTCCAACAACGATGAATGTTCATCCATTCGTGCGTTCTCTGTTAAAAGCGACGACTTTATCACTGATCGTAAGTTTACTCCTCTGCCAACGGTTTAACGCCTCATCGTGGCTGGGAGGTGTTCCTGGGTATCGGGCTGCGATGTACAGCTGGTGCATTCATCCTCCCAGCAGGGACCCACGGCTGAGGGGTCTGGCGTTTCCATCGGGTAACCCAGCTAAGAGTAGACCAATATCAAGATCCACCGCCTGGTATAGGGGGTATAAAACTAGTCGCATGGTAGCAAATCTCCCTCTGATCCACAACGGCGCGACTGCCTGGGGTGGTGACGACCTGGGGCAGACTTTGACCAGGCTGACCTTGGGTCTCCAGGAAAACAATGGCCGAACTAGCAAAACTTCAAAAATTGGAGAATGTGCTGGGGTACCTGCAGCAGGTGAGGATGGGCCATCCAAGTATCTAACTAAATAAGTAAGTTTTCCTCTCGGTGATCCACAATCAAAATTGATAACTCCCAATTTAGAAAAGGCTTCCGACATCATTCAAAGGGAACAAGAATCTTTTACCCGTCGTCATGCATGCTTCATACCGGATGATCCGAGGTTTACATAGTTTTTTAACATGTTTGCATCTCTTTAGTGTCTCATTGCTTTTTCTCTGTCTAAGGTTCAACCAAAGCCGCTTCGAGAAAGAGAATAGTTGGGAGCCAAGCATTCTCGAGCATTCTTCGTTTGAGAACACAGATCAGGGCAAATTTGCGGAAAGCCTTCCTGTACCCTCTGTGCCAAAGGTGTTTTTTTGAAATGTAGTTTGATATTTGATTCGCCACTTATACAATTGCAGCTTGATGGTGACCATGGCCTAAAATCTCGTGAGGGATACTTGAATAGGGATAGCAACACAAGTGTAGAAAGAAATGACGCCACAGTTCGTGTAATCGAAGGTGTTTGATTCTATCATTGTTGAATGGTTGAGTATCTCATTGTATGCTTCATTCAATACTAAAACCTTTTGTGAGAATACTGTAGGTAAAGGCTTCGTATCCAGTAGTGCTACCAGCGAACAGATTGATTGCAATGCATTGGACATGCGAAATGTAAGTGTACTTTCTTACTTACTTCGATACTTAGATGGCCTGTCCTCACTGGTTGTGCGGGCTCTAGCAAAATTTCCATTGTTTCGGAGTTGTGATGGTTTAACCATAGCGGTTTCCTGGAGTTCCGGGGTCAGCCAGGCCAAAGTCTGCCCCAGGTCGTCGCCACCACAGGCAGTTGCAGCCTTTGTGAATCAGAGGGAGATTTGCCACCATGCGACTAGTTTGATACCAGGATGGTGGTGGATCCTGGTATTGGTTTACTCTTGCCTAGGTTTCCTGGTGGAAACGCCGGACTCTTCAACTCTTCAGCCTGGGGACCCTGCTGGGAAGATGAATCCATCCGCTGTACATCGCAGCCTGATACCCAAGAACATTTCCCAGCCACGATGAGGCGGTAAACTTTTGGGAGGAAAATGTAAGTATGTAGATGCAAAGTGTAAAATGTAACTGAGGAGTCTTTTGAGATGTTATGAACTACTTGAGGCAGTTTAATTTCAGCGTGTCTTCAGCCGTCCTCAGAGTACTCCCAAGCGGGTTTTGCATTCGTCATCTGTTACCAATGAATCCCCAGCCTCCGGAGATTCATCCACTGGCGTCGTGAAAACAAGCACTCCTATTTGTATGTTTTTTCTACTTCCCTAGTAATTTCACAGTTATTCATTGTAGTATTCAGTATTTTACACACGATTTTCAGCTTTGATTGCTAAAGCTACGTCTCGAAAGAGGCATAATGATCTGGCTGAAAAGTTTAATGGTTTATCTGTGATTATGCCTGAAGGTAACTCAATAAGGAAAATTGCGTATTCGTTCCGAATCTTTTCTTTTGCCTTATTGGTGCATAGATGAAGTGTACTTCTTTTTTTCAAGATTCGTCTATATCTGTTGAGAGGTCTATTGCGGAAACCACTGCTTCTACTAATTTAAGTGTAGGGAAAATCCAAAACGTTTTGAAGGTATCTTTCTATTGGTTTTAAAATCTGTTCTTCATATGTCATACGTTTACCAAGGTAGTAAATGTGTTTGAAAGTGATCATTGCACTTTTTATGTTGGTCATTTGCTTGAAGAAACAGTTATAACGTTGTTACGAAGGACAATGCAATCGTTCTGACCCTCTCGTTCGTTTAGAGGGATCGAGATGCTTAAATTCTAGGCATAAACGTTGTGGTTTTCTCTAATGACGAGCCTTTTAGCCAACCTCTGAAAATCCTTCTCAGTGTTAGGAGAACTTGTAAAAACTGAAGTGCAAATTTATTCAGGGCGTACCACCGTCTTCTTCACCAAGAACGTTGATGAAAGTATTGGATGAGTACAAGAGAAGTCGAGTGAAGGCACGAAAAGCTGGTGATCATCCCCTTCCACCCCCAATTCTAAATATGTTAGTGCACTTTTTGTTTCGTTAAAATAGTGTTTAGTACGCTATTTAAGTGAGCCATCACTGTCATCATGCACTTCGCGTCATCTTCCTTCTCATAAAGCCTGTAACAGTGCTGGAGCAATGGTGAGAGTTGTCTTTTGTATTTGCCTCAGTAACATTCTACAGTATGTTCCATGTTTAGGTTGGGTGTCCTGTCACAGGAGATAACTTAGTGGGTTAAGCTTTAAGTATTGTTGTATGTCTGGCCACTGGATTCATTTTTAATCCTAAGATTGCTAACATGCTATTCAGTATAAAACCACGAGTGTGAACAAGCCCATTCTTAGCGGCAATGAAACGGTTGTGAAGGCTTCTACTACAGTAGCGGTTTGTTCTTTGACTTTATTTTGCTCTCATTCTATTTAACAAATTCATGACGTTAGAAATTATATGTGATTCGTTTTTCTTGAATTGCTTTATTTATTTATTTCTCATAATCTTTCCCTTGGTACTTTCTTTGTACTCGACCGATAGAGCATTTCCACCTTAGATATTGTTCAAGTATTGGTCAGGAAAAGCTATCGTGCACGTATTATAATTTACAAAAGAAAAGTTTCGCGAGTGAATTTGTTTGTCTCTCGGAAAACTGTTAACATTTGCGGTTTTAATATACCATTTACTTACTTGGATGGTTGGATTGCCTGTCTTTACTGGTTGTGCGGGCTCCAGCATATTTTCCGTTTTCTTGGCGTTTTTCTGGTCTAGCCATTATGGTTCCAGGAGTCCCGAGGTCAGCCTGGCCAAAGTCGTCATTCGCTGGTCTTTGTTGATCAGAGGGAGATTTGCTACCATGCGAGTAATTTAACACCAGGACGGTGGTGGATCGTGGTGTTGGTTTACTCTTAGTTAGGCTTCCTAATGGAAACACCGGATTTCTTCTCATCCTGGGAGACCCTACCGGGGAGACGAATCCACCCGCTGTACATCGCATCCCGACGCCCAGCAACACCTCCCAGCGAAGATGGGGGAGTAAACCGTTGGGAGGGTATCATTTAGAATCGTTAAGATCGGGAACCTCTGTGAATTTATGCTTTTGTATACAGCGATATTTACGATCCCTGCAGTCAATCTGTACAATTTTTAACTTACATTTCTTTTAGGAATTAAAAGTTACATATATGCACATGTATGGCCTATGTGAAACAATAAATGATGTACAATTTCTTCGTGAAATTGTTGTTGTTGTTATGATGGAAGATCTTTGGAGAACTTGAAGTAATGATGAACTTGCAGAAAGGTCACGTGTATATTATGAGCATCATAGCAGTGCCTGCCTTGGTAACTCTAATTAATACCCGTGCTACTCATATGAGGTATATGGAGAGAATGCACCTATTCCTAAGCTGCTGGAAGAGCGAACCGATACACACTTTCATTTAATAACTATAAAATCATCGCCGAAAAGTTCGATTAGCGTTTGACTTTGTACAATACATTATAGTATTTCTCGTATTTTAAGCCATATGGTCCTAACAGCTCCTTAGGTATATTTGTCACCATAACCTGGCACCGAAAAGGGTACTATGTACAAACTGAATTAGAAAGTTTGACTGTTGTTTGATTATTTTCGTATCGTTTATGAATTTCTTTGAATATTGCTCGAGTTGATTTCCCTGGTTTGGGATAGCCGTGCAAGAGCGTTCCCACTTTGACTGCAGGGACTGATCTGTTCCCAGACAAGTCTGGAACCAATTTCGTTATCTAAGAGTCATGAGAAGTTTTGTGATCCCATAGCGATGGTTCCAGATATCTTAGTCAGCTGTTTACTTGGAGACCCGGATGGCCCGTTTTCAGTGGTGGCGTGGGTCTCAGAACAATTTCCACTGGTTTCTCTCTCACGTAGCGATCGTCCTTGGTGATGGGCTGCTTCGAATTATGATATCTGCTAGGCAGGCCTATTTCTTCCCTGGATTGGTTTCTATCTGAGAATGCAGGCGGTTAACGTTAGCCTCTAACACGCCTGTCCATCATTTGGTAGTCTTCCACGAGGACACTTTCACTCTCTTGGAGTTCACTCTCCACTGTACTTTTCGTCCATCTATTATCTATTTATTACGTGACTAACTTATCTGTGTTTTGCTATCAGTGTGTATTCTCCTGGATCCTGAAGATGGGATGAGTTCCGGCGATTTTAGCTGCGCTTTCCGGTTAGGCGTTGTGAATGCTAGCTGTATTCCAGAGTAATTTCAAGCAACTATCTACCCACATCGCTGTTGCATAACAGAGCGCTGAAGGTCCTGATGGATCCAAAAAGTGGGCGCGAAGTTTTGGTTTGTTAATTTGTCGGTAGCATCCCTGAGAGGCCCGAATGCGGTCCTTGCTGCTCTGCTTCTTGTGTACAATTCTTCCTTCGTAATATTCTTCATGTTCATTGAACATTAAAAGTATACATGCGAATTTATTTTTGTAATCAGTGAATCATCGAGTTCGATTTGTTTTCCTTCGCCCCATAGGTTCTTCATTAACTGGCGCTTCGTTCTATTTATGCGCTGTTTTATCTTTTTTTTGCTTCATTTTGTTGAGTACATTGAGCATCGTCACTGATTCACTGATGCTTTCCGAAAGGATGACGATTTCGTTGACGAAACGAAAATTTGGTAGGGATTTTCCATTAATACGTATGCACTTCTCTTTCCAATCAAACGACTTCATTATTCACTGCAGTACGACGGCATTAAACAAATTCGGCGATATGGTGTCGCTTTGTCGAACTCTTTTTCCTGTGAGTGTAGTGAAGGATAGATAAAAAAAGCTGTATATTTGTGTTGCAGTTCCGATAACACTCAACTAGTGTCTGTATGCCAAACGCTGATAAGACCATATTCGTTTCGACGCTGCCAAAACGCTTTTTCGTTGGTAAAGGTTGGGACAAGAGGCACATGGTGCTCCCAAGGCAGACTTCTATTACAGCGACACGATTTGAATGTGGGCTGTGAAGCACAATAGTTTTCGAAATCCTGCTTGCTCAACTAGTTTTGCCTTATCCAGTGCTCATGGTATACACGGCAGGATAATGTTCGTGAATAGCTTGTAGAGTACATTCAACAAGCACATCGGGCGATAGTTAGGAAGATCCTTTTGGCCACCTTTCTTGCGTAGTATGAGCGTGCACGACGTCCTCTACTGATGTAGGATTTTTTCTTTCTGAAAGTGAGATGTCATTTTATGTTGGGAAGTACATCTAATTTGTAGCCTCCAGCAAAAGAAATCTATTGTCGAGTCGTGGTACTGTGCCTCTCTCCATGCTTTCTATTACAACTCGAACCTCAGAGTGTAGAATTCCATGCTGTTGTTCACTATTGGGGTCCGAGACGAGGTTTATGGAGTGGAAAAGATTAGTTCTCGTCAGACTAGATTGTTTTTGAGTTACTTCCAATAACATTTTTATGCCTCTATCGATGTAAATCTTCTTGCAAGAACCTTCTACAGCTGGCATTTATTGCCAGCCATGTTAGGTGTTTTGCGCTATGTTTAAGCTTCATTTTGTTTCTTTTTCCGAGCAACTCTTTATTGATAATGGAAATACGGTGTGATCTTCTTGCGTGAGTCACTGACGTGAGCTCGGGACAAGATCTAAGTTGATTCCCATGTTTATCGGCGATTTTCTGTTTTCTCAAAAGACGATTTCCCATGGAATGGACGTGCTGCGGGCAGAAATCCTACGTGACAGTTTCCATTCTCATTCTTCGTTCTTCTGTTCCGTATTTCCCAATCCTGTTATTCATTTTTGTCGCCTGTTCCTAATCTAGCGTGGGAATCTGCAAGAGGGTCAACAGCGAATTTTTGGAAGGATTTTTCGTTGTGGATTACTTCCTTTAACTGGTTGTAAAACGCGTCCATTTCGCCCTCATCAGCTGTACAAGTAGGTGAGTAACAGTTGGTGATACTGACTGTGTTTTATCGCGGAAGTTAGAGACTAATAGTGAGCCAAGCTTGCTGATAGGATTTCGTATGAGAGGACTAAATGGAAATAGATATATGCACGAGAAAGCAACACCTCCGACATTTCATAAAGGATTTTTTTTCCACAAATGACAACGGTTCCGTCATCTAATTGGCCTATGTCGGGTTTACTGCTTTTCGTCTTTGTAGGACGATCACGTAGAATTTGGTGCGAAAGAAGAGCGTAGAGGTCGGTGTCTGGAAGGATTATTCTGGTGTTATAGATACAAAGCAAGAAGCACTTTCCATGATGTGTCGTGGGTGAACTCGTTCAGTGTCCTGAGCAATCAGGGACTTGATGACCTCTTACCGTTTTTCTATCCGCCCGGCGTCGTAGACGGTAGCACCCAGTGTACAGAGTACTGAGACGAGATTTTGTGGTTTAGTCGATGTGCTTTGTGGTTTCCTAGAATTCCGAGGTCTGGCCTGCCGAAGCGTTCTTCAGATCGTCGCCATCACATGAAGTTGCTGGTCTCTGTGGATCAGAGGGAGATTTGCCACCATGCTATTTGTTTAGTACCAGGGCTGTGGGGATTCCTGGTATTGGTTTACTCTTAGTTGGACTTTCGGATGGAAATCGCTGACTCATTCTTAGAATGGGAGCCCTTGTTTGGAGATGTACCCCCGGCTGTACATCGCAGGCCAACATCTGCGAACACATCGCAGCCACGATGAGATACTAAAGCTTTGGAAGAGGTTCCAGGTATTGGTCAATAGGTCCAGGAAAAATTCAATAGGAATCTGTCGCTTCTGTGCATATGTTCGGAAGCCCTAGATCTATCTCAAATCTTCTGATTGTCCGATGTCCATGACGAACTACATTGCTGGACTACTCGCTACTGATCGCATCATTAGTATCATCACCATTGTCTTCATCCTCCGACCCAGTTTTTTTTTGGTTTCTTTGAATTCAGGGCTGAATTTATATAAGGACATAGTATTCTGCGTACAATAATTCCTATGGGAATTTATCAAGTATTATAGAGGTGGTGGAATGTATACTTGACCTACACTCCTGGTTGCTTACTGACGTTTCAGATCCACATTTTTGTCATCGCGAGCCACTATGATACCACTGTGTTTACCCCAGAAAGAGGAAAAACTTGGTTTCTCTGAGTGCGTGGTCGAACAAGCAAGCCGGTTCTTACTGCAGAGCATCTCTATCGATTGGGGTACATACACTTTCTGGAATGAGCAGATGTAAAAAATATACAGAACATCAAAATTTCATTCATATAAAATATATCTGTAGATAGATAAATACATGTCGAGATATACAGCGGTATGTTACTGAACCTGCTACTAAAGGTGAGGCTTCGTGATTAGCTCGTAAGCTTTCTTTTCGATACAAGTATTGGAAGTGTTACTATAGATGATTCGTACTGTGCGCTGCCAGAAGTTATGTAGTGTCCATGTGTATGTTACAGAAAACTTGGTGTCCTCGTACACTGCAAATTGAAAAACAGATAGATAAGAGACTAGTACTTTCCTAAATACTTTAAATTTGAATATACCGCTTCCAAGGGAGTCGAGCTTAAATCCATCTGAATTTTCTAGAAATTTTTCTTGATTTGTTACTTTTCATCTAATTCCTCTGTTGTGTGCCTTTTAGAAACCGGATATCGGTGTTGCATGTAAAGATGTGAAAGCACCATGTGAGGGAGAGGTACGTTGGAAAATGGATTTTTCCATGTATTATTTTAATAGGCGCTTTTTTCCGCCTCGATTCCACAAGTCCTTTGTAGCTATAGATACATATGTTCATAATTATGATCGTCCTGGTGCACGCTCTAATGTTTTTATTATCCTTCCTTCAATCATGAAGGAGAAGACGAGTGGTTCTAAAGCTGTGCCTGACCACCTCATACGGGAACCGTTTCATATCTGTACCAATAAAAGATGTGCCATTTCAACTAAAATCTGTCCAACTGGCAGTGCATAGTATATAGTAATAGGCAAGGGAGAATTTGCACTCCGTTTTACTTGTTTATTAGCTGCTCATGCTGTTTTTTATGCATATTTTGTCAATTATCCTCCCATCTCTGAAAGACTGGAGTCCGTTACCTGTATGATGCAATATGTCGCATCCCATCGAAGTATGTAACTGGATATAAACCCTGAAGGAGAATTCAACAGTTATATGTATGTATGTATGTATGTATATATATAAACGTATATATGTAAATAATTATATTTATGCTTGTGTATACGGGGTGTATCAATGACTGCAAATCACTGCGGAGGCAGGTGAGAACCTTGGAGAAGTAAACTCATGTGAACTCTGCGAAAATCGGGAAAGCTACTAGTAATTATACTCAATCCCTCATGCAGCTACTCTCCGGCCGTTTTTAGTCGTTATCCTCTTCTTTGGTACTCGCCATGTAGCGCAGTCACTTTTCGGCTAAACGAGGTTGAAAAAATATTTCTAGGCAAGCTGTCAACCATATTCCTCGGTGCGATCATCTAGTTCTTTATCCACAAATACTGTTGGTCGCTGCTTTTCACAAATGAGTTCTAATCCTACGCGGAGGTTTTTTTTTACTATTTCATATTGACCACTCTATGAGGTTTTTGTAAGTTCTAAAAGTCGAACTTTAGGTCTGTGCTTTATATCCCTCAGCTTGAAGTAGCGTTTGGTTTCGTTGCTGTTGGAGACACAGCCATATCAAACGTTGATGTTACTAATCGTACCGATAACTCTGTTCGAATAAGGGCGAAGCTTAGTCATTCCGGACTGCCTTTTACTGTACGATTGTTTGTTTTTAGAGTTATTGCTGTGTGTGTATTCAGTGGTGTGATGAATAAGCACCACGTTAGTTATAGCTCTTGGACAGCCAAATTCTACTTCTGGATGCACATCGTACTGTTCCTCTTCGAATCGAATTCTCACCAACTCAGAATGCCCGATTTTCTACCTACCTTCTCATTGCAGTGGAAGGAGGAGGTGGACCTCAAGTGAATTACAGGGTATTGTTGATCTTATTATTACCTAGCTAACAGTGTTCCGTTGTTCTTTCTTGCGCTAGTCGCTTCTCGCTCAAATTTTAAGTGTTCTTTTACACAGTTCAAAAGCCTTCTCTGTGAGTAATTCTTTGTTTCAAGATGCCGGTTCGAGGGTTGGGCGGAACTGCAGTTGTTACAGTAAAAGCCAGAGATGACCTACGTATTTCAAGAAACGGAATTTATATTTTACAGTCTTCTTATGAGTCGACGTTCTCATTTTCTTTAACGAATTCAGGAAACCGGTTCGTGATCAACAACCCTATTGGCTTAAGATGTGGTAGAAAAAAAACGGTTTATGTTATATCTTGCTGATTTATTGTTCAAATCAAACTTTTAGGCGAGCATTTTCCCGCGTGGTTGTTTTATGCACAACAGAATCTGGCGTTTTGGAACACATTCCTGCCGATATTCGTCCATCTCCCGGAATTGTTATAGATCGTAGTGAATCCAAGGAAAGAATATTCAGTTCCTTTATGTTGCTTATCTATTGGTTTTATTTGTCTTTGAATGTTCTCTCTTATAAAACATTTAAGTGGGTTATTGTTCACAACAAACGCGCCGAACCTACAGCCTTATCGATTTGTCTCGAGAAAAATGGTGTCATGATTTACATCTATCGGTTTATGAAATTTTGACCTTTAAGACATCGTGTACGATTGGTTTAGCTGTTTTAAGCTTGTCTCCGTACGGCTTCGATCTCCTATGCCGACCTCAAATTGGCGGTCTTCGCAAAACTCTCTTGTCTCCACTGCGTCAACAGCGGTGAGCTTTCTGGCATGCCTGTGGTTCTCTTTGAGTTAAGAACAATAGTGAATTTCTTCAAAACAATTTTTTTTTTGTAGCAACAAAGACCAGCAAATGAGCTTCAAGTGATCATATATTGGGGAGAGGAACGTACTCGTCTGCGCTTAAGATGGTGGGTTTCCTTTTGTCCTTATTCTTTCTGCCTTGAGACTAATGTGATTTCATCATAATTTAAGGTTTAATAAATTTGTTGCGTCTTTAATTGGTTGTAATATTAATTGATTGTAGTAGCTTTTGCAACGTTTTTTAGTTTCGAAAACCTAAAAGGCATTTCACATCTGTGTGAAGGGATTCGGTTTACGGATACTTTCGTTGGTGAAGACCCAACATTCCGTCCTCCTGAAGACCATCCGATTACCAAAGAGGACGTGAGACTTTTTGATCAGACACTGAGGATGTGTACTATTTATGTGAGTCCGTAATTTGTCATAAATTTCAGCTTTCATGACTGTTATTTGTAGGTTTGCTCCCCGCGGATTCGTCCAGGGTCATCATTGATTTCGAATTATTCCTCACCGTTTGAAAGAAGCCTTCAACCAGAAGACACTTTTCGCGAGAGATCTACTTATAAAGTCGCTGTTCCTGACCTGACGTTGCGATAGCTGAGACTAATTCCCTAATCTGACAAAAGGTTGCTTTCTAACTTCTCATTTCTGCGGTATAAATTTCAATCTACAACTTTTATCCCACGTTCTTCTATGCTACGACTACGTCTGAATGTTCCTGTTATACTCATAGGCGACTCTAATGTATTTTACTAGTTCAAGTTATGGAAGTGTGTTCATGTATGTGAATCACTCGTTATGTGATTTAAAAAGTCTGTGAATGAACACTTACTGACTAGTGAGCCGCACGTTCCCATATGGTCATTTTTCTGGAAAGAAAATATGTTTAGCACTAGCGAGCACTAAAAAAGGAAAAAAACAATTTCCAACTATTTTCTGACCAAATTGGTGCAGTTGCTGAGGTTACAGCTCCATTCTGATTGCTAGGCATTAGTAATTAGCAACAGGCTTCATACTTTTCATTTTCAGCTATTGTTCGCTTGAAAAGAGATCTCACATTCGTTGCAGTGAAGGCGCACGGGTGGGCGCTGTACTAAAGTAATTGACGTGCACTCAACTGATGGAAAGCTCAAACTTGACATTTGCTCACCTTTTCAATATCGCAAAGATCCCAAACTGTTATGGGTAATACTGACAATGATCGTATTTCGAATGGCTACCTTTAAGTCAGACTGTATGAAGTATGGCGTCCTCGCAACCCCAATTACCAAGGTGGATCGTGAGATTCAAGCTACTGTGATGAACTAAATGCATATTCATGTGGACCACTTACACGTAGGGAATGCTGAATCGATGCGAATTGAGTGATGTTTTATACCTATTTGTTTGAAGACATACTCTTTGAATAAGTAGTTTGCACATGATGGACGAACCGCAATGATTTCAGTGCATACGTGACAAAAATGATCGCTTCTTCGAACATTAGCTCTGTTCATGACCGGGGCCGTCTTCGCGTGTCATTGTAGTGCAAACGGAATGTACATTAAAATCAAGATGTACGGCCTGTGAGCCAGCTCAAAGTGCAGAGAGCACAGGGGCTATATCTAACCCTTGGTTACTCTCTCGATAATTGTCGCCATATCTATCTACCTAACTGCACTGTATGCGACCCCACTACTTATCCATACATGACTTTAGAACATCGTTCTCTGATTTGAAAGCTATGGGTAGGGCCTCTCTAGCTGTTTATAATTTCTTATGGTGAATTTATTGTGACGGGAGAATAGACTACACATCAGGTTCTTTTAAAAAAGCAAACGACGTTTGGTGAGAGGTGCGATAAGCATGTCGGAAAAGAAGCGATTTTCTATCGCGATTCTTTCAACTTTTTGCCCACAATGAAAGAAAAAGCGTGTCGTTTACCTTGCGTAAAGGAAGCGTAAAGCAGACTTAATGAGTGTAATGTCATCGTTTTCTTGCTTGTCGATCCTTACCTTCATCAAGTGGGGTCTCAATTGGTGCGAACCATTCCCCTCGATTGTAGGCTCCTATTTCTACCATATAATCTTTGTAAATAACGTTATGCTGTAAGATCGCTGGTGGCTGTCTGAGTAAATCTGACACGCGTCCGGCCCATTCCGCCATTTCCATTGCAAGTTTGGATTCGTTGAAATAATAGCTCGAATTTGCTCTTTCATTTTTGATCCCAACTACTTAACGTGAGTGCAGACTAGCGTGCAAGTAGACACACTAGAGCTAAAATTTAGAAAGCTTTGAAACGTCGTTTACTGTGAATATCAGGAGATAAAACTTTAACGGATGAAAACGCAGATTTTTAAGTTGAAGGACAAAGAACAACGACCTCTCTTCCACTGCTTCTGAACTGCTCGCAGCATCGAATAATTTGCATGTCAACAGCAGCTAAGTCTTTTAGGATCATTTTTTTTCTTTGTGGATTGATTTGCATCGCAACGTTTGGTGATATAAGAGCTACAGAAGATAATGGAGATTTCGTTTTGGATTCTCATCAATTCGTTTGCTGCCATTAATGAATTAGGCTGTCTGGCTAACCGCCTCCAGCAACATTCCGCAGAAGTCATGAATGACACGCTCTAAATATAGTAATTACGATGGTACATCATCCAACTGGCTCAAACGAAAAAATATTGCAAATTCAACGCCGCAGTGGCGTAGCCTGCCACGGCGGCGAAGGTGCTCTCGTCAATGCACGTTTGGCCATGAACCTCAATTAATTCGAACAATTAACAACCTGAATAAGACTTTCACGTTTAAAGAGACGTGGATCAAAACTGGCTTAGACAATCTTCAACTTTTACACGCCGACATCAAACTTTGGCGAACAAAAAGTCAAGGTGTTCTATATGGACTTGGAGAAGTTTTACAGAAGACGTCATTCACTCTTTAAGGTAATCATTCGAGATTTCAACGGTAAAACTGAACCAAGAAGAAGTCTGAAGAATGTCACATTGAGACCCACGGATTATAATGCATTAGGAGTTCCTAAAATAGATCCTATACAGACACTGGATTTTTCATGCCAACAAATGAGTTTCTGTTAAGTTTGGCATTGAAGTTTATGTCTTTCCGATGAGCAGACACGAGATCATTAGATTATTAACGCAATTTTTATTGCGCAATGGTAAGGCCGGATTTCGCTTTCTTCAGAACCTAGTGGCCATCTACTCACGGAATCTACTCAGTCGAGTACTTTCGGAAGCATAGCAACAATGATTTCAATGTCTGCTCAACAAGAAAACATCAGCTGAGCTTTCCGTCTTCTTTTTCCGGATAGCCACTGAATATAGTCCGTTTTTGATACGGCAAGGTATTTTCAGATGTGGATTTTCACGAGATTCTAATCTGTTCCCAACTTTAATAAAGTCTGTTAACGACGATTTTTTTTTACTATTCCTCATTATATCATCTATTAATAAGGGCGCGTGGGGTGCAGTGGTTTGAGGCACCACTGCAACACACACGCGGAACCGATCCCCGCGCCCGCGGTCCATCAAGCGTTCCTTCCCTCCAGGGTCGGACAATTGGTACCAGACTTGTCTAGGAGGATGACAGCATTGGCTGGATACATCGGTAGGCCACGGCGAATCATTGTAAAGGCAAGATAGGCATTCGATCACCATGAAGTCGAGTGCATGGCGCATCCCTCAAGGATTGATCAACTCCGAGAGCTTTATCCTTTCATCCTTTATCATCTATTAATATAGAAACTCAGAATACATAACTTCCTGCTGAGAAAAACGAACGTGTCCGCATGTTTCGACTATAACGCTACGACGATTATCTTCCTTCAACTCATTCTCAATGGAAAAGTATGTGTTTGGCAACCAAATTTTTCGATTACTCGGAATCCCCTGATGGTTGCAATGAAAGATCTTTCTTACGAAACATTTTAAAAAGCGAGAAAATGGATTCTGGGAAAGGCAGATTAAATCAGGTGAATAACGTTTTCAGAAAAAATCTTTACATGCCATGTGATTTAATATTACACATTATTTATTATTGTCTTTTTTACTCTATATGACTCGTCTTCACGTCCTCTGCGTGCATTGCAGCACTATTTGCGTCATATTCGTTTCCTCATGCTTATTACCCACGAAGGTCCACGAACTTCTACGTGTGGGTTCTTTCGTTTCTTGAGGATTTTCGTCTTTACGAACGTCATCGAATGCTGGTGGACTTGTTTCCCTATGGTATAGCTGGGTATAGTGTTAGGTGGTTTCTAGATCTTCATCAAATGCACGCATAATCTTTTGTAGATTGAAGGGATCCAGTTGGTTCCATACTTCTTGACGCCGAATGAGTAGGGTCCTAGTTGATCAGGAATGCACTCGAACCAGAACGTTGCCGCATTGAGCGGCGCCACAATCATTGCAATTTTTGCGCCCGTACAACAGTATAGATTATAGCTGAGAGACAGGCGAAAGGAAGGATCCGCATGGTGTGGTGGTGAACGCGTTACTCCCCGGAAACGACAATAGCGCAATCGTTTCCCACCGCAGACACCTGCAGTCCGGAGTTTTGCAAATATCTCAGCAATCTCGTGGTTGTATTTCGCTTAATACCCTGCCATAAAAATAATAGAAGGCAGAAAATAAAAAGTAAACATGGTATAGTTTATATTATTACATTATTATTGTTTCGCATATTATAGATCTGCGGGTTAAGATCGCCGAAATAACACACTAAATAATAACTCCCACGACCGACTTTCCATTAACCTCGGCATTGATCAAGTAATTCTTCGTATTTTTGTTGAGCGAACGCGAGGTGTTATTATTCCTTATTCATGAATAAGCTGACGTTTCGGCGGATTTCGCCTTCCTCAGAGCCTGCAAAGGTCAAGTTAACAGCAATCTATTCGGCCATACACCTCCATAACCAAACAAAGAAAACGCTAAACCAAGATCTTAATCACATTCAACACAGCTTTGCACACTCACCGCTTTCTATGAGGTTTCCACAAAGTATGTCGCGCGAAGACCAACCGCACAGAACATGGAAGCATAATGTGTCCCACCCATCAGAATAACAGTCTTATATACTGCCCTATATCACGCGTGATAATGAGGCATTCTTCCCTGAGGTTCACTTTCGAATTTCTGGAATTAATCCAGAATGCCTCGAGAGTTTTTCGCGCCTGTGTTCTTGATTCGCGTGCGAGGATCGTGACACATTCTTCAAAGTCCTCCCCGTCATGTCTCTGGGTCCTATGCGTGCCTAGCGGGGTATTTGGTCTATGTTCGCCGGCTAAGTGTTCTTTTATGCGGACACAGAGGGGTCTGACCGTTTCGCCAATGTATTCGTCACCGCACGTCTTACAGGAGATCAGATAAACTATACCCGAGCTCATGCAATCACCGTCTCTACCACTGGGGCAAATTATGCAATTTTGAGTTGCACACAGACGGTCATATAGGCGGTTACGAACTAGCTGGCGCTTAAGATTACTCGGTGGTATTTCAACTACGCTCACCGAATTCTCTAAGCCCGCCCTTCTTAAGCAGCGTTTTATAGCTGTACTTATATCATTTGAGATGAAGGGTAGGATAAACGGGACC